ATAGAATAATGACAAAAGGCTGCTTTCCCGCTTCTTGGAAAACCTCCACCATATTTCCAATAGTGAAGCCAAGGAAACAGCCAGACATACCACAGAACTACAGACCGATCAGCCTCCTCAACACAATGAGTAAGATAGCCGAAAAGGTACTACTCAAAAGACTTAACAAACACATAAGACACAACAAAATCATACCTGACACACAATACGGCTTCAAAGGACGACACTCCACACTACACCCACTGACAAAACTCATAGAAAACACAGTTCTCAATTTTAACAGACAAAACCATACCGGATTGATGTTACTCGACTTTGAGAAGGCGTTTGACACCATCTGGATGAACGGACTTATACATAAACTTATCCAACTCAACTTTCCACAGTACATCACAAGAACATTACACTCTTACCTCTCAGACCGCAACTTCACCGTACAAGTACACAACGGACTTTCGACGGTTAAACAAGTGACGGCGGGAGTACCGCAGAGCTCGATCCTGGGACCGTCACTGTTTAACGTCTACATTCACGACATACCCACTGACGCCGACACAACGTTACTGACGTTTGCTGACGACACTGCCATATACAAATCATCACGATCACCTACGCTACTGACTACAAAGATACAGACACACATAGACAAGCTAACAGAATATACTGATAAATGGCAGATCAGAATCAATCCGCAGAAGACGGAGGCAATTTTATTTACAAAGAGCCGAAATGCCATAACTAGACTGACTGACTTGGACAAAATTAAAGTGTTAAACTGTGAAGTTGAGTGGTCCAAAGATGTCAAATATCTTGGTGTGACCCTGGACCATAGACTCAGCTTCACAAAACATATTAATACGAAAATCGGACAGGCTTACGGGATGTTAAATCTACTGAGAACTCTCTTGAACCACAACAGCCCGCTAAGCGTGGAGAACAAGCGGACACTTTACTTGACACTTATAAGACCGTTACTGACATACGCCGCTCCGGCATGGAACGCGACAACCAAGACCAACAGACGGAGACTACAAATAGCATAGAACAAAGCACTGCGACTGGTACTCGACAAATCAAGAGACCCACTGACGAGACACTACTACCCAACGAAATATTTACATGAACAGACGGACATACCGACTATACTAGAATACATAAAAAAACTCACTGAAAATTTTTATCTAAAATGTGGGGATCATCCTAATATTAACATCGCGGGCCTCGGCCAATACACAAGAGACGATATTTGGTATGGCAATCACGCCATGCCAAAATATATACCGATCGACCCATAGCGGCAATTGATACTTGGATAAAGATAAATCTTTTATTTTGTTTTTCTTTTTATTTGTATAATTAACTATTATTATAAATATAGCTTTGTGTGTTTTTTTTTTTTTTGGAGAAAAAGTTTTCTTTCCTCTTCTTTGCCACAAGATTTGTCACACATCTCACTATGTTCACAATATTCACTGTATATATTTAGATCAATTATGTAATATAAAATACCCATGGGTAGAAAAATATGTGATAACTAACAATGCAAATGTATGATCAACTATTGTAATAAATACTTTTTGTCTGTCTGTCTGTCAGTTTTTCACTGCGGTCCGATAACGCCTGGTACTTGTCAAGACGTCCATGTCTTGCGACATTTTCCTAGGCTCCCGCCCGGGAATTCTGGTGATTTTATTCGATGTCCACTGAATTTATTAAAATATATAAAAAACTGTACTGATTTTAGAAAATTTTGAATAACACTTTTAAATGTGCTGACTTTCAATCCATTACCAATTCCGATCCAGAATTTGGAATGAAAGTAGCAAAAGGCACGTTCACCTTATAATTTTGTGTCGGAAGCGGAGCAAGCTCCTGACAAATTTGCGCTTTGTTTAGAAAAGACGTAATATACATTACGTTACAGTCGTAATATACATTTAACCTGAACACACATATACATATGTATATGCAGGGCCGTGCCTGGCCAGCGTGCAGTGCGTGCACCGCACGCAGGCGGCCGCCTTTTGGGGTGGCCGGGAGGCGGCCAAATCAAAAAATGAAAAAATTTAAAGGCGGCCATACACGAAAAGCGGTCATAACAAACAGCGGTCGCATTGAAAGTTCACTGAATTAAAAGGCGGCCAAATTGGTAGCCTGATAGATTAAGAGGCGGCCAAATTAAAAGTCCGCTGAATTCATTCGCAGCCGTATTGAAAATCCGCTGAGTTAAAGGACGACCGTAGTCAAAAATCAGCCGAAGGCGGCCGTATTGGAGCGAAATCGTATCAAAAAGCGGCTTTTGAAAGCTTTGTTTTCAAATTATTAATAAGTGTATACACGTGGTGTAAGGTGTAACATTACCCTTAAGTAAGATGCACGAATTTTTGAACACGTGTAAATAAAAATGAAACCATCTGGAGGTGAAACGGAGTTCGCCCGGTTTGCTAGTTTTTTATAAATGGTTTCAAAATTAAATATTATCGAACTGAAAAAAAACGTTTAGTATGTTCATTAAGAACAGGATCCAAAATCACCAAAAAATTTGTTAATCTCAGTTAAAATGTTAACTGAGAAACGACTTGATCGATCATGGACAAAAACTAATCAGCACGATTCTCAAATAGTACCTTTGTAATGGTTTTTGGATTTTCAAAATCGATTCACGAAGTTAGACTATAACGTGGACGAAAAATCTGCCACTTTTGATAATCCTAAAGAAACGGCACGGCCAATCGTGAAGCAAATGTAACCAGCACGAGTGCTTATCGAATTTCATCGATTTTTCAAATAGAATTGCGCATTTTAAAAAAAACGTCGACTAAAGATGAAATTTTGCCTCACATAAAAAAGTGCTGCTCATTTTTTCAAACTGTGATAATAATTTGAAAATTAAAATCACTTGTCGTAAGGTCGAAATATTTAGTTATATTTGAAATCATGATCTCTATCGCCAAAAAAGTTTTATAAATATTATCGTAAAAATATATTAATATGAATATTTAACAATTAAATACGAAAAAACGATCCACCCGATCTCTTAAAACTAATCAGCACGATTCTCAAATGATATCTTTCAAACAATTTCTGAATGTTTAAAAACTATGCAGGATTTTTGACTAAAACATGTACGAAAATTTGTAGACTTTTCTGTTGATTAGAAACGGCTTGGTCGATTGTTGCACAAAACTGACAGACGGTAGTCGTTATCTAGTTATATCAAATGGCTTTTAAATTTTGAAATCGATTTACCCGGTTTTCAAAGAAAACATTGACAAAAAATTAAAAATCGGCTCATATACACACTTTTTTTCACAAATTTGGTCTCGAACGATTCAGAATGACTAGAAACGTAGAGAAAACATAAAAATTACAAGTCGAGAACATATTTGATATTTTCGTATTCAGTAATTTTCAAGGGCGGCCAAAAAATGCTCGCACGCAGGCGGCCATATGCCCAGGCACGGCCCTGTGTATATGTATGTTAAAAAAAATCCAGCAAATATCAATTAAATATATGTATATATATATATATATATATATATATATATATATATATATATATATATATATACAGAGCCGGTCCTACCTTGAATGCAATGCATGCAAAAATGCAGGCCCACGCCTTAGGGGTCGCCAAAACGAGGTTCGGAAATGAAATTTATAATATATATTTTTAAATATAAAATCCAGAATACTTAATAGATTATAATAAACAATCCAACTTAACTAAGAGACACAAAAAGAATATTCAGTTGCAATGTGATATCAATAGAAACAATTAACCAAATAATAACTCTGCAAATTTGTAAATTATTGTTCTGCTTATTGTTTAATGTACTTATTAATTCTTTTCTTTGTTTGAAGTTAACGTAGAATCGAAAAAGAAATTATTTAGTGTTCAATCCCGTAAGAGCAAACCTACGAAAGTTTAAATTAATTATTAGGCGTTATTGGTGAAAAATGGCGAGCTGATTTAGTTGAAATGAAACTTTAATGAAGAAATATATACTAATTTTATTAAAGAATATAGAAAATGGGGGATTAGTGCTTAGAAAATGGCTTGTTTATTCCGAAAAATTGAATTGTAATTTTTGTTTTTGTTGCAAATGTTTCACATCTGATGATCTTTGAACGATGCAGACATGCGTGGTTAGGTTAAAAATGGAAGCAATATATACTTAGGAACAAAAATCTTTAAGCTTTTTTTATACATAATTTAATTAATAACTATGCAGAAATAATACAAATACAATTATAATTTGTTTGTTTCCGTATAGTTAAGGAAATAAGTAATTTCTTTGCATCTTTCACTAATCTTTGGACAATACTTTAAAAATACGTTAAAAGTTTAACTTTAAAACAACAATCTGATACTCTCTATCTGATGGCTGAATACAATTCGGCCATCATGATACCAATAAGGAGAAGTTTACGATTCAACTTTGGATATTGTGAATAGTGAGAATTTCACTTAAATTAAAACATGAAATACGAGTGTTATATTTAAAAATCAAAGACTAGTTTTTTTTGCTCTTTTGGCGTGGTTTTCTCTATAGAATAAATCGCATAATAAATAAGTTTAATGTTTCAAAACCCAAATATTAATATTACACATACGTTAGAAATAATTGAGAATTTAAAAATATTTGATTATGATCAACCCGTAAATCGCCTCAATTTTCTAAATAAATTTAAATCAATGTATTCTATACGCTTTTAGATTATATCTAATTTTTTGTGTACTAAATCCAGAATGACTAAATATTAATCAAAAAAATTTACGTAAATGTTTATATAATTTTAACGAAAAACTGTTAAAATTATTGCGGGGGGGGGGCGCTAAAACGAATCTTGCATGCGGGCGCTGAGAACCCCAGGACCGGCCCTGTATATATATATATATATAAATATATATATATATATATATATATATATATATTATATATATACATTCTCAATAATTGTATGTCTATTTTATATTGTATATGTAAATGTTTTAGCTGAGTCATTTGTTGGTAAAGCGCATACTATCAAAGGTTTACGGCGTCATGCAAGACTAAGGCAAGGGATAATTGAATATAAATATTGCCATTACTTTGTTAGGTACCTTATTTTATTATATGAATATATTTATATATATATATATATATATATATATATATATACAGGGCCGGTCCTGGGGTCCTTAGCGCCCGCATGCAACTTTTTTTTTAACCCCCTATTAATTTTAACTGTTTTAACAGTTTATTATTAAAATTATATAAAAATTTCATTTTTTTTTAAATTAATTTTTAATTATTCTGGATTTAGTACACAAAAAATTAGATATAATCTTAAAGCGTATAAAGTATATTGATTTTAAATTTATTTAGAAAATCTAGGCCCTTCGCGGGTTGATTATAATCAAATATTTTTAAATTTTCAATTATTTTTAACGTATTTCATTATTAATATTTGGATTTTGAAATATTTTACTTATTTATTATGCTATTTATTCTATTGAGCAAATCATGCGAAGAAAACTAAAAAAACTAGCTTTTCATTTTCAATCATAACATTCGTATTTCATGTTGTATTTTATAAATTTTACGTTAATTTAATTTTTCATTATTTACAATATCCAAAGTTGCGTCGTAAACTTCACAATAACAATTAAATTTAGAGTATGAACACCACTAGGTATAAAAAAAGCCTTAAGATTTTCGTTCCAAAGTAAATTTTGCTACCATTTTTCATATTTGTTCCTATAACCCTAACCACGCATGTCTTTTATAGTTCATCAGATGCAAAACATTTGCAACAAACACAAAAGTTACAATTCAATTTCTCGAAATAAACATGTCATTGTTTAAGTACTGACTCCTCATTTTTCATTATCCCGATTATAATTTTTTTATATTTTTTAACAAGTTCTGTTTCAACTAAATCAACTCGCAATTTTTTGTCAATAATAATTATTAATTAATTAATTAATTAATTTAATCTTTTGCAGGGTTGCGCTTTTGGGATTGAACACTAGATAATTTCTTTTTTAATTCCACGGTAACTTCAAAAAAAGAAAAAATTGAATAAGTAGATTAAGCAATAAACAGAGCTGTTATTTACTAATTTGCACAGTTATTAATCGGTTAGTTGTTTCTACTGATATCACATTGCAAAATAAATATGCTTTTTGTGTCTCCGTATCCCTAGTTAAGTTAGATTGTTTATTAAAATTTATCAAGTATTCTAGGATTTATATAAATAATAAAAAACATAAAAGATATAATATAAATTTAATTTCCGAAACTCATTTTGGCGCCCCCTAAGGCGTGCGCCCGCATTTTTTGCATGCATCGCATGCAAGGCAGGACCGGCCCTGTATATATATATATATATATATATATATATATATATATATATATATATATATATACATATGTAATCTTAATGTAATTTTGATGATAATGTAATTATTCATTGTAGATTAGAAAAAGGGCCACCACCAAAATATTATTATAAGACTCCAAAGACACCACAAGAACAATTAGACGAGTGGGTAGAGCAAATGCGCAAGAGGAAAATTATTAATTCTTTATAATTGCTTGCACTTATACCCTTTGAATCAGGAGCATGATAACATCTTCATATTAGATTTATTAATAAGACACTTTTAGTATATTATATGTTACAGAGTCATAGTTGCACACATTATATATATATATATATATATATATATATATATATACATATATATATAAATATATATATTTTTTCTAAGCCTTGATGTAATTAACCTTTTCACATGTGTTCCCCATGATTTAATACTTGATTCAATTGAAAAACGCTGGCCCACTATTTGTAACTACACCGACTTTCCCATAACTACTTTCAAACACATCATTAACACTATCCTGAATTGCTCTTATTTTAATTGTTTCAATAATTTTTATCTACAAATCAAAGGTACTGCTATGGGTTGCCCATTATCCCCTGGCATTATAGACCTAGTTTTACAAACTCTTGAAATTTCCGTTTTCTCCACATTAAATTTCCAAATATATTTTTATGTTAGATATGTAGATGACACTTTTTTTATAATAGACAAAGAACAATCAGATATGATAATCGATACCTTTAACAATTACAATAAGAGCATTCAGTTCACACATGAAACACAAATCGACAACAAATTAAGCTTTTTAGACGTGACTGTACACAAAATTGACAACATTATTTGCACAAATTGGTACAGAAAAACTACATGGTCAGGGAGATACCTTCATTACGCGTCATATTGTCCCAAAAATTATAAAGTCAATACAATCATTTCTTTGATAGACCACGCAATCATGTTGTCTCACTCTTCTTTTCATACCCAAAACACAACATTAGTAACTAAAACTTTATTAGAAAACGGATATCCCCTCACCCTCATCAATTCCATTACCAATAAAAGACTTTCCTATCATAAAAGTAACAATTATCAATCCATCTCCAAGTTATTCCAAGACAACAATATTAAACCAACTTTTCACAGCATGCCTTACATTGAAGGATTATTTGATTATTTTGCCAAATTACTCAAAGAAGAAAATATTTTCATTTCAGGAACAGCTCTATATTCTTTTAAAGAAATGTTTTCAAAAATTAAATCCACCACCCCTCCTAAATTCAATACTAACATAGTTTATTCCATCCCTTGCAAAAATTGTCAAAAACAATACATTGGCCAAACATCACAGTACATTCATAAGAGAATGAGACAACACGAATTAAGCGTCACTCATCATAAAAGCCGAAATTTCCAAAGTACTCTTGTCCAGCATTCCATCGAAAACTCACATAATTTCACCTTTGAACCCAATATTTTATATAGAGAGGATTGTACTTTTAAAAGACTTTTTTCTGAAAGCAGTTTAATCTTTTTGAATCCGTCAAATAGTGTTAATAAAAGATCAGACCACAATATCATTCATGACTCATATTTAAATTTTTTAAACCTGATTAAAAATAATTAATCCTAATAATTTTTGAGTATGTATATATATACATGTATATATGTAATAATATATGTACATCCATATATGTGCTTATGTGTATGTTTTTGTGTGTACACTATATACATGCACTTGCATATATGTTCATGTATATAATTGTGGATACATTGATATATAGATATGTGCATATGTATGTATGAGTATGTAGGTGTGCATATACATGTGCATGTATGTATATATATATATATATACATAATATTTCTCAACATTTACTAAAGCAATATTTCCTCTTTTTTCGTAAATTACCAAACAAGAGCCATAAAAAATCATCTTTTTTGCCAAGAATTCCGTGCATTGTCCTTTACATCTGGCAGACAGAAATCCATATCAGTGTGTTTAAGTCTTGTGTAGTCGTAACATCTAAAAATATCTTCCAAAAAAATCGAGTGTTTTTAACAAAAAAATATTAGTGATATGGATATATAAATTATTACAGGTAAATAATTTTTGCTTCTCAATTTTATATAAAACCTTTTTTAGTTAAGTCTTATTACTCTTTACCCCGGTACATAATCCATTCCTTTATAAAATTTTTTTTTCTAATTAATCTGTATTAACCATCGTTAATTAATGTTAATCAATATTTTTTTAAAAAACATTGTATTTGACAGAATAAACCTGATGATGGAACGTACCTAGTTCCGAAACGTCGTATTAAACATCTTCAAAAAAACAAATTGTTTTTTATTATTGGATTTACTGTTCGGAAAAGAAACAATCAATAAATATATATATATATATATATATATATAAATATATATATATATATATATATATATATATCAGTGTTGGTCGAAATATACACATTAAATAATACAAGTAGTTATCATTTTTTATTTTGACTATTCGGCATTAAAACAAGTCTGGAATATGTTTCAAAATCAAACTATGAATTCAAATTTATATATATATATAAAATTCTTCTGTAATGATGTATAAAACTAAACTAAAATTTTTGAAGTTTGTTAAGGGAATTTTCCAGGACGTTGTGATTATAGATATATAGTTACATTGCAAAATTTTTTTTTTTTATTTCCATATACGTTACAATCCAAGAGACATTCAGTAATTAGATTGTTGGTAGTAAAAATGGATGCTTAAAAGGATACCCAGTAGTAAACCTTTTGGTTATGATATGTAACAATTATGGCAAAATATTTATAAATATAGATACTAAAACCTTTTGTAAGTCTAAACATGCATAAATAATATATGACTATAATTACATATACATACATATAAATAATTTCTACATAAACTAGCTTTACTTATTCTGTTAATTCGAGTAATGATTGTCTTTTTAATCTATATGTAGTATTGTACAGTTCGTTTGCTAAGACATTGGGGTGACTGCTTATTTTTGTTTTGTAGTTTTGTGCTATTTTGTTTATCTCTTCATTTACTGTGTTGACGTTTGATTTGTTACTGTTGACTACAAACCTCCATAGTGTAAACCACTTTTCTATTATATTAATGTGTGATTGTAGTATCGCAGTCGCTGTTGCTGGGCTTTCATGCTTAGAAATAATGCAGGTATCATCTGCAAATGTTGCAAGGTTCGTGTTGTGGTGGCAAGGAAAATCTGCGGTGTATAATAAAAATAGCGTTGGGCCTAACACACTTCCTTGAGGGACTCCTGCATTATTTGGTTTGATTGCAGACTGGGCGTCCTGTATCTGTACAAAATATGTTCTGTGAGCCAAGTATAATTTTAGTATATAGAATAAAGCATATGGAAGATTCTTTTTGATTTTATATAATAACCCCCAGTGCCACACTTTGTCGAAAGCTTGTGCGATGTCCAAAAATACCGCGGTGCAATATTTTTTGGTATGCAGAGCAGAGTTGATCTCGCGGTGTACCTGTTGTATGGTTGAGTGCTGCTCTCTAAATCCAAATTGGTGATTTGGAATTATATGGTTGCTTTGAAGTGTAAATTTAATGCGTTTTAGAAGCAGCTCTTCAAATATTTTGGATATGACAGGCAGCAAGCTAATTGGCCTATATGAATCTATATGATGAATGTCTTTTCCTGGCTTGTGAATCATAATAATTTTGGCAATTTTTCAGATTGAAGGGAATGATTGAGTTCTAATTATGGCGTTAAAAACAGTGGTCAGAAATTGTAGGAATTTATAAGGTAACTCCTTAATCATTTTGATTGTGATGAGATCAGGTCCCGGAGCTTTTCCAGATGTTGTACGCCATATTTCTTGTGCAACTTCTAAAACAGTAATTTTTTTAATCTGCTCGTTAGATGTGGAAACAGTATTGAGAAAATCGAAAATAAATTTTTCTTCGTAATCTGCGCATTTCTGAGGGGCTGGCTGAAAGGTTTCAAATAGATGTTCAGCAAAAATGGTATATTTCTCTTGGGGCTGCCTAGCCCACGTTTCGTCTTTTTTTAGTGCTGGAATAGTCATTGTCGGCTGTTTCAATTTTTTAGTGGCTTTCCATAAGGAATAGTTAGAGTCTTCGGTGTGTGTTAGATTATTTAAATAATTTTTTACTGTTTCATTTTTATGTTCATAAATCAAGGTTTTACAGGCGAACGAGTATTTTGCCAAATTTTACGTAATTTTCTCTTGACTGCAATTTGTTTCTTTATATAGTTTGGTATATCTTGAAGTTGATGCTTAACAGTTTGTGTGGTCGATAGAAGTGCCGCATTGTGAATTTGTGTATTTAAATTTGAAATTGCATTATTTATATCTGTTTCGGTTTTAAGCGGTATATTGCAGCTAATTTTATCAGAAATTACGTAGCGGAATAAATCCCAGTTTGTATGATTATTAGTTTGTTAAATATTTAGTAGAAGCAATCAGCGCATTGAAAGTGTTTAGAATTATCGGAGAATGGTCAGAATTTAAGTCAAGTGATGCATTTATATTAGTTGATTGATTTGGTATATTATTTAGTTTAAAAATTCTAAAAGATCCGGGATTTTATTGATGTCACTTGGCCAGTATGTCGGTTCGCCTGTAGAAATATATCTGTAATTGTGCGAGTGCATAGATTTAAGTAGTTCTCGTCCTCTTGGTGTTATTAATCTTGAGCCCCAGTTATGTTGTCCTGTACTAGTGAGTGATTGATTAATTGTGAGTTCTGAGCTACAGTTTTTTTCCTTAAAGGTGGAAATCTTCGTAGTTTTTCCTCTTTATATTTGACACATCCCCTATAATTTGCAGGATGATTGCCTGAGCATAAGACACAAGTGACGTTTTCGTTTATTTTTTCAGTCCAGGAACAGTCCTTAGTGTGGTGATCTCCTGCTCATTTCACGCATCGTGGGTCACGTGAGCAATAATTACGTGTATGTTCTAGATTTTGACAGTTTATACCTTGTGGGATTTGACGATTGTGCTGTTTCGCTTTAATAACTACTTTGTTCTATACAGATATTCAATTCTGTAAATATCTGTATTATTTTTGTTTTGTGCCAGCTCCACGACAAACATGTTTAATGGTTGTTTAGTTGAATATTGTTTCAGATTATAAATTTGTAGCACGTTGTGTCCAAGATTGTTGATTTTTTCTTTCAACATTTTTACATCAGTACTATAATGCAGATTTTTAATTACGATTTTAAAAAATCGGTCTTGTTTTGGTTGGTATGAATG